ATCTCAGATCTGCCTGGTGTGTTCCTTGGTCTTCATGATGCTCTCTGCGCTTTGAACAGAACCCTGAGACTATCACAGAGCAGGTGCATTTATACGGAGACTTGATTACACACAGGTGGATTCTATTTATCATCATCAGTCATTTGGGACAACATTGGATCATTCATAGATCCTCACTGAACTTCTGGACTGAGTTTGCTGCTCTGAAAGTAAAGGGGCCCAATAATAGTGCACGCCCCACTTTTCAGTTTTTATTTGTTAAAAAAAGTTTGACACATCCAATATATTTCATTCCACTTCACGATTGTGTCTCACTTGTTGTTGATTCTTCACAAAAAATTTAAATTTTATATCTTTATGTTTGAAGCCTGAAATGTGGCAAAAGGTTGAAAAGTTCAAGGGGGACGAATACTTTCACAAGACACTGTATGTCGCAACTCATTTATGTATAAAGTGAATAAAAGTGGTGATAGCACACAGCCCTGTGGAACATCAGTGTTCTTTAAACCTAAAACTATTGCTTTAAGAAAATATGTGCACAGACCATGTGAAGGTACGGTCACTTTGTACCTTTGCAGCTTTGGTCACTTCTTACCCCCTTTTGTCCATTTTGTTCCTTGGCAGATGATTTTTGTACCAGAGTTAAAAATGTCTGGCTTATCACTGGAACATAGATGTGTTTTAATTGTATTTATTTTTACCAGAAGTTTCTAAAGTGGAACTGGTGCCTTGGCACACATGCATGGGTGGAAAAATCCAGCTGAAGGTACAAAACATCAAATAATGTAAATAACAGGGTGCTGTTCAGTGAAGGGAAGAACTGATCAAGAACATGCATGTTGGGCTGCCGTCAGGCCCAGGCCTCCCTTTCAAAAGAGATCTGTGATCTCAGTGGGATTTACCTGGTTAAATAAAGGTTAATAAATAAAATAGAACCTGGAGGTAAAACTCCTGTTAAAGCTCTTATGACAGCCTTTAGGTGCGTACCAGATCTTTACTTCACGTT